GAAATCGAGCCTACTGAAAAAGCAAAGTCGAAATCTGGGCGTTATGTACGTCCGTTTTTGGCCATACAAAACCGCACGACCGAAATATCACGTAACCAGTGCTGAAATTTTACATGTGCTTTGACAAACCGTTCTTTCATCCGTTGATCTGTTATTTTCTATGATCTCCTAGCATTAGGTAAGTGTCTCTTGCTTTCAATACCCTCCTTTTACAGTATTACTGCCTTGTAAGGCTATTTTGTACGCGAGAAAAATGTCTCAAATAGGGCGGCTTAATCAAGTTATGATTTTCGTGACTTCAGTCTACGTGACAACGCTCTCTACTTGTAACTTGTGCTGATTGCAGGAACATCCTTTTTCTTGATTCTTCTTCCGGGGAAGGGACAGATGTAAACAGGAAAATAGTTCTACGATAAGATCTTTGTATAAATCTCACTCGACTTTCACTGAACATTATTCCTCAAGGTATATTTTTCCTCATTAGACATCACTTTACAACAGTTTTATTCATATGAAAGGAGACACTGTAAAAATAAAGGCATTACATTTATTTATCATTTCAGATGTAAAAGGAGCTACGTCACGGTTTGCGCAACTTGAGAAGTTCAGCCTAAATTTTTCAAGTTCACCGTTTGTAATCCGTGTTAATCTTCTCAATCCTTAACCATTTTTGTTCCTTTATGGATTATTATTACGTCTTTGGTGTTTTTCCATCTTAGTAAACTACTATTTTCAGGTTTCCTTTAATTTAAAAGTAATTTTGTACGTGGCCAAAATTACTTAAAATTCTGTGACTGAGCTCCTTTAAGGTCTTGGTGAAGGCGGAGGCGGCTTTGCACAGTTTTATAATTTGCACGATTTGCACAGCATGATATTAAACGCTTGTAGAATCACTTGGCCCGTTATCATTTTTGCTTGACTTGTCAGTGTTCTGTAAGAAATTCACCCGGCTCTCTCTGACATTTTGTTCCCGTTTCAGATGTCCAAGTAAAGCTGATCCCCCCTCCGTCCGCGAGTGCTTCACTTTCCTTCCGAACATCTTCAAGCATTCGATGAAGGCTAGACGATACTTTGGAACCCTCCATGCGTAGATAAATGGATTTATTGCCGAACTTAGGAACAAAAATCGCGACAGAATCACGTCGATTTTGTGGAAAGTTATCGATTGTTGGCAAGACTTACAAAGGTGTAGCAGATGAAGCGTAATATATTGAGGCATATAAGTCAGGTAGAAAAGAGCTAGAATGATTATTATCGTAAAAGTCATCTTCCGTTCGCGCGCCAACACGTGTTTGCTGTTTACAATCATGTTGATTCCGTTATTTTGAAGCTCACGTGATCGTCTCGCGAGAGCACGAAACACGTTCACGTAAATTACTGTCAACAAGATGGCGGGCAGCGAAGCGTGAGTGTGCAGATAAATCAGCGTGTATGTCTTCTCAGATATATTCGTGACAGGAAGAACACAGGTAGTTAAAGATATCACCCATAAAACTGCGATGAAAATCTTCACTTTTCTCTTGGTTATGATGGATTTGTATTCCATTGGGTTACTGATGGCGACATAACAAGTTAATGACATGGCTATTATGGAATAGCTGCTCACGAATAGAGTTGTAGTTAGAACAGTGTATATTACAGCCTTAAACACCATAACGTAAGGCATGTGTACTTGTTCAAATCGATAGACATCTCTCAGAGCCACGAAAGAAACGCTTACTAATCCGTGCAGTAAATCTGACGCACTTAAATTTGCGATCAGAAGGCACGGCGGAGTGCGAAGAGACTTTCTGGGATCCTTGTAAATAGTGAAGAGCAGAAACGCATTTCCAATGACAATGACGAGGGCCAAGATAAATCCAGTAACGGCCAAAGCCAACCAGAATGCTGAATCATCGATTATCGTCACATAAAAGTCGTAGTTTGGGTCTGAAATATTTTCCGTGACCATGGCTGGAGCAGTTGCTAGTATCTGAAAAGCATCCGGCGACAGTTTTTCTCTCACAGACAGGCCCAGCTTGACGATTCCAACCTGGTGATAATCTGAACAGTTCCCAGTTTCGAACGAATCGGCTAAAAGTTAAAATACTTCCTTTCGCCTAATTGCCTCAGTTTTAACGCGACTATCAGGAACTTTGGTCATTGTTAAATATAGACCACTTTTATTACTGCTGCGGTTTGACAGCCCTTTTGTCCGCCTCCATATCATGTTTTTGTGACGTTGACTTTCAAAACGGCAATTTCACAATCAATTTATGCCGATGAGTTTGTGACGCGTGTCGGCCGGATGGGAGCGAATCACAGAGCGTGGTTTTTACGAACGACTTCAGCTCTGAGAAATGGATAAAAATTCCTGGTTATGTGGAAGAAGAGCAACTAAAATTTCATCTCAATTCAAGGCCATGTGCAAGCATTTTTCCTTTACCCGCGCCAAGCGAATCACTTTCCAAAATATTGCAACTTGTTTACAATGTGGTTGTACAATATAGATTTGTTCTTTTGAACTGTACAAAGAAACCAGTTCACATAAAATCTCAGTGAGATGGACAAGTAATATTTCTTCGTAGTTACTAATCATATCGCTAAGGAAGACTTTATTTAAACCCTTACTGAAGAAGATAAAAATTTATTCTAGAAGAAGCTAGAAGTCAGGTCGAGGCACTGATTATCGCGAACATTCTAATTACCAGTTATGTCATGTTATAGTGGTTTCACTGCTCGGCGTACGTGCTAGCAGTTATGTAAATGTGAACCCGTTTGTTTCTACTGCTTATGCAAACAATCAAGAGAGAGCAGACGATTCGTACAGGAAATTTTGAAAATTTCGCGGTTTGTAGCGAAAACGCTGTGATATAGGTGGTATTTCTTATATGAATTCTTTTTGCAATCATTTCCTTTTTTTATGAACCAATCGGACGCGGGGAAATAACTACTGGTGTGTGCCGAGAGTAAAACCTTCAGACTGAATAACAAATTCGATGTTTGATACTGAATTCGTCATTTTCTGTGTAATTCGTAGTATCTTGCATCAAATCATTCGGGGTGCTTGCCCAAATATTGTCTCTAATTGCTGGACTTTAAGTGGTTTAGTCAGCAATCGAGAAAGGTAGCTTATGCTCACGCCAAAGCTCGCACGACATGCGCCGAGCGTTCAAACTATCCTTTTGCATAATTATGGTGGGGGTTTAGGAAAACAGGAATGTAAAGAGTGTGATAATCTGAAGCTTTTCTGAAAGTACTGCAACATTAAACAAGCAAACTTTTCACTTGCTTAAACAGCCTTAGTGAATTCAGTAACGGTTATTTAATTTTTTCAATTTCAGTCGTAGAAGCTTTATGGAGCCCCGTCGTCAAAATTGGCATGAAGCAATTTTCAAAAGAGTCAGAAGAGGGCTTGAAAACCGTAACCCGCCTTCAATGCTTGTTAAGTCCATATTTGGTAACATGTTTCCATTCAGGTCATCGTTTGTCGTCCCGATAATTTGTTGAGGCAACCACTGCCATTGATGTTCCTGAAGTTAGCGTTCAAACGCCTCGATATTAGAGACTTTAAGATCCACATTTCATACCGCAAACGGCAAATGGCTAGGGGTCACGTGATCAGAGCCGGACGTCACGTTTGGGGTTGTCGACTCGCGTTTTCAACGTCAAGAAGTAGGTTAACGACTAACTCATTTACCTCAAGCTTTATTGCCTTCAATTTTATTTTATGCCACGTGCAAACGCTGAAATCGAATAAAGAAACCCTTTTTCTACAAATTAGTTATAATTTTTAGGCAAATAAGCAATTACCTAGCCTTTTGCTGTTGTTTGTAGAAAGGCTCTGATCTTTATTGGAAATCCAATATGGCGGATATGCGTTTTATGATGCCTTACTTTTTTGAAAGCTACGCATGCTAAGGACACTATTTTTTTTTTCTTTTTTTTTTTGGCGTAATTTGACAATTTCCAATGTATTGACAGGATGATTTCTATTCGCTCCGATCCCGTTTACTCCAATCTCCGTCTAACCTCAAATGGAAGTTAGACGTTTGTGGTAAACGTGTATCTAAAGATCTCTAATACACTGAAGAAAACAGGACAATGATTCTGGTTAGCCCACCCGTCTATTTCACTAGAGCAAATAATGGTATTATTACCCGTAACATTTTACTGTTTTTCATCCTTTAGAATGTGTTTTCCCAAACTGTGGGCCTTTAATTGCCCGTACATGACACAGTTTATTTTCAACAGGAATAGCGAAAGAAACGACGCGTGGGACGCCCTCCTTCGTTCGCCGGACTAAGGCCGATGGACGAATGAAATGAGGGTGTCAAAAGTAAAGATTCAACTTGGACTCAAATACTTGTTGTATCAGTCGTTAGACATTTTAAACTGGGCTTCAACAATAGAAAAAAACGTTACTATATGCGAGTAAATATAGTCGACGGCATTGCAGCGGCATGACGTGACATGTGTCCTCTGTCCCGTGACGGTTGCCAAGGACACTATGCCGATGAACTCGAGCTGCTGTTGAAATGTAAATTTAAAGGGCCCTAGTCAGCCACACCTTTTTTTGTTTACATACGCTAGAGTTTGGCTATTATATTTTATTCGGAGCGAGTCGAATCGAAGGAAATCACTACTATTAAAGGTAATTAAACATACTGTTATGAACATAACTTACAGTAAAGCAATAAGATTTCGCTTCACCATGCAATATCAATAATTTCGATGGCATCGAAAATGGCGGAGGCTGACTAGGGTCATTTAA